GTTTATGACACCATGTCTTAATGCAACTCTTCCACCTCTTCGGTGTTTTTTGGTTTTGTTTTCCCTCCTCTGATTTCATTCAGGGGTTTCTCCTGTCTTTAATTGTCTACAATTTGAATGTGGTATATTTAGGTGTCATTTGTTTTGTTTTGTATAAATTTATTCTGCTTAGTGTTTTTTTAGGAGTCCTGGTGTGGCTTGTTGCTGTTGGGTGACATCAAGTCAGTACCGACCCATAACGACCTTATGCACACACAGCAGAACGAAACACTGCCTGATCCTGGGCCAACTTCACTAGTCTCTCTGCTATTCATAAGGTTTTCAGTGACTAAAGATTCAGAAGCAGTTTGTCACTCTTTCTTTCTAGTCTATCTTTTTCTGGAAGCTCATCTGAAACCTGTCCACCATGGGTGACCCTGCTGATATTTTAAATACTGGTGGCATAGCTTTCAGAATCATAGCAACTCACAAGTGTGGCGCTGTGGGCTAATGCGTCAGACTGCAAAGTTGTTTGAACTGCGAGGTTGGTGGTTCAAGCTCTCCAGCTGCTCCTTGGAAACCGTATACAGGGTCGTTATGGGTCAGAATCAACTTGATGACAGTTAACAACAACAGTGCTCTTTGAGCTTCGAGGAGCTATGGTTTGGTGTCATTAATTTTGGGCATTTTTATTCCGCTATAACTTCATATTTCTTCTGGCCCTTTCTATATTCTCCTTCTGGTATTCCTGTGATGTGTGTGTTGTACCTTTTCTGTCTCTGAACCACTTGATAGATACACCAACATCTTTGAAGGTCTGACATCTCTGAACATCTGAATCCTCCTCTCCCTCAGACCTGATGTTTGCTCTGATCCCCCGCCTTAACTAGTGATGACCACTGTCCCAGAAGCCTGGAGTCATCTTGCCACCCTGCCTTAGTTTCCTCGGACTACCAGAACAAGACCCCATGTGTTGTTTCAAAGTTCTGGGGGCTAGACATCTGAGTTCAGGGTGTCGGCTGGTCTGTGCCCACTTTCTGTCCTCTCAAGGAAGACGCTTGCTTGGTGTCTGCAGCTTCTTGCCACCTTGACTTGTAGGTGGGTCCTCATTTATTGCCTTCCTCCTGCGTGTGACTCCATTGCTAGTCTTATCTTTTATAAGAAACCGCTCAGGACTAGGGGTTAGGACTAGGACCCACTCCAGTCTGGTAAGAGTTGGTTCATTAAACTGATAACATCTGGGTTGGGGGAAGAAACCTATTTTCCTAAACAGAGCCACATTCACCAACGCAGGGCTTAGAACATCAACATATTTTGGGGAGAGACATTATTCAATCCATTACCCCCGTCCCCAAGTTTCCAAGTCCTCCCAAATATCTCCACCAATGTGTTCCCATTTGCACACCTTTTGTCCTGGCTCATGCCTTCATCACCCCTGCCCGACCCAGGACTGTGCAGTTCCTGGCCAGACTCCCTGCTCACATGTGTACCATCCAAGCCCTACTCATACACAGGTGTAAGAGGGACCCCATCCACCCACCATGAATCACCGCCAAGGCCTCCCATCACCCTGAGATGCTGACAAAGCCCCCTCACTGTGGCTCAGCCCCTCGTACACACTCCTTGTCTCCTCGAACATCCTGCCTGCCCCACAGATCCTCAGTAAGACTGCGCCCTCCCCAGAAATGCTGCCAGCACCCCAACTCAGACAGACCCAGGCTGCCATCAGAGCACTCAGCGCAGTCTTGAGCTTGTTATCTGTTTGAATAATTAGTTGTCTACTGTCTCCTCCGTCACAGGAGGACAGACCCGTGTCTAATGTGGGCGCTGGTACTAACCAAGGCTTTGCATTGGGAAAACCCAGAGACTATCTGCAGAACCAACAGAAAAAAGATTCACGGGCAACAAAGAGTCACAGGGGCACACATGCACATGCTCATGTATACACACTCATATTTGTGCACACCACACATACTCACACACTCCACTCACGCTCACACTAATATATGCACACTCACTCGTATATGCATACACATGTGTATACGCACATGTTCCTCTATACACACACACACACATCGTCACGCTCATATCTACACACCCACTCACACTGCTTGTCACACTTACAGAAATGCTCAGGCTCATGTAGAATCTTGCACACATGCATTCACACACTCACAGACATGCCCACGCAGACATGCACCCTAGCTCGAGGTGACCTGTGCCCACCACAGACTTGTTGGTGTTTCTGTATGCAGGGGACCTGTATTGTGCCCCTCTCCCACAGTGCACTCGGTGACTGGACTTTCTCCATCTGTGAACAGGACAGTGAGCATTTCTCCCACCACTGGACTTGCTGCTGTGGTTCTCCTGGCCACAGACGCAATATGTGCCTCTCTCCAACAAGTGGATGTCATGGTGGACAGTAGTTGGGCTTGTCCATCTCTTGCCAGCTGGTAATACAGAAATCCATGTTCCCTGGATTGCTGTGGTGATTGGTCAGGGAATCAAGGCAGGGGTTGACTGAAGTCAGGGGCAGCATGCTGGGTATGAAAGAAGTGATTATGGAGCAAAGACTGGGGGTGGGGTGGTGACCGGAAGTCCCAGTGTAGGAGAGGCTTGGGCAGGGCTGACAGTGGGAAGCATGTGAGTCTCTGGTCATGTGTGAATTCAGTATTTCAGAGACACAGTGCCCTGGGGGTGGGAAGGTTGTGGATGCCCAGGGCCCTGCCAGCCCCCAGGATGGTGGCAGGTGTTGGGGAGATAGGATGTCAGAGGCCAAGATCAGCATGTCTTGGTGAGGGCTGGCCGGGGTCATGAGCTCCCCAGCTGGGGATATAAGAGAGTACATGGAGGGATCCTGGTCTGAAAGTGGACTCCAGTAGCCTTCAGAGGAGCATGGAGCGTGGGCAGCCATCAGAGAACTCTGGGAGGTGGAGTCTCCCGTAATGTAACAAGGGGCATGGAGACTGCAGAGACCCTGAGAGAGGGGCTGGCAGGAAGGACGTCTCCCAGGAAGAGCCACGGTGGGCTCAAAGTTTTCAGCAATGGGCAGCAGAACTCAGTACCGGCCAGAGGTACACAGAGCCATGAGACGTGACAAGTGTGACTGAGTAGGGACCAGAAGGGCCAGCGTTTGGGCAGTGGCTGGAGAACCAGAGAATTAGGGCTCCAGCCTAGGGGGTGGCGAGGAGAGAGCCCCACTGAGCCTGTGCCAGCCAGGGAGGGGTGCTGGGGGCAAAGGGTGGTCATGCCCTGCAGAGAGGGTTAGCGGATCGTCATCCTCAGGCTCATCTTGCTATACCCACAAAGGGTTCTGACACCCTGAAAACGACACCAGCAGTTCACAGGTCACTATGAGAGTGGTCAGGCTGCATGGTCAGATCTGTGCATTTTAAGATCCTGGCAATTGATTTCAATGCTCATTCATTCATTAATCCATCCATCCATTCATTCATTCATCCATTCATCCATCCATTTATTAATTTTTCATCCATCCATTCATTCATTTGTTCATTCACTCATTCATCCATCCATTCATTTGTTCACCCATTCATTCATTCATTCATTCACTTATTAATTCATGCATCCATTCATTCATCCATTCATCCATCCATCTATCCATTCATTTGTTCATCCATTCATTCATTCATTTGTTTATCCATTCATTGGTTCATCCATCCATTCATTGGTTCATCCATCCATTCATTTGTTCATCCATCCATTCATTCGTTCACTCATCCATTGATTCATTCATCCATCCATTAATTTGTTCATCCATCCATTCATTCGTTCACTCATCCATTCATTCATTCATCCATCCATTGATTCATTCACTCATTCATTCATTTGTTCATCCATCCATTCATTCGTTCACTCATCCATTCATTCATTCATCCATCCATCCATTCATTCACTCATTCATTCATCACTCAACCATGTGGCAGGCCAGCGTAGGCAGTGGAGGGCAGGAATGTAGCCCCAGCCTGCTGTCCTCGCTCTAGTCACACTTGTGGATGACGCTAGTTCAGGAGTTCTTAGGGGTTTGGCCGGGCAGTCGGGAGTCCCCTCCTGTGGTCAGCTGGGTGTCTGGGTCCCCTTGGTGTGCTGTGGTCATTACCAGATTGAGCTACGGAAGACGAGGAAGCCATTAAATATAGTATAAAAGAGGTTTATTGTTGTTGTTAAGTGCCGTCGAGTCGGTTCCGACCCATAGAGACCCTGAACAGAGTTTCCGAGGCTGAAAATCATTACGGGAGCAGAATGCCTCATCTTTCTCCCACAGAGCAGCTGGTAGTTTTGAACTGCTGACCTCACGGTTCGCAGCTGGATTCATAACCACTATGCTCCCAGAGCTCCTTAAAAGAGGTTTATTAGAATAGGGGAAAAGAATGACTGCAGGGGAGAGAGCCACAGCCATCAACATGGGAGCACACAGTCTGAGGTGTATTTATGGTGGGTGGTTGGTTCCCTTGAAATCAGCTCTGTTTCCATTTCAAAAAGGAATTCAGCTCTCTGGTTTGTGTAGGTAGCTCTGCTCTCTCCTGTCAATTCCATCTCCCTTGGTTCCCATGCTGCGTGCATCTGGTGTTGATGATGGAGTCTAAGATTTCAAGATGGACTCTGTTACAAAGGCATCTGGGATACTTGGCATAACCAGTTTAACGCCTGCACTGAAAACTGGCTACGGGGGAGGTTAATAGGTCAACAGCCTCCACTGGGTAGCTGAATAGGGAGGAAGGGCTCACAAGCCCTACTGGGTTCCAGACACAAAAAAAACAAGTTTTTGTTTTAACTTGTTTATATCCTGCCTGCCTGACAAGGAGGTAGATTCTGTCTCTTGTCCACACCTGCCCCTCTGTTCTTTGCATTTGGAGGGTGTTTTGTTTTGATTTTTAATGGATTTATTGATCTTTTCCACATAACTGCTTTACAACTGCCCCAGTTATTTTCGCCCTTACTGTAACACTGTGGTCAGACAGGTGGGCCTGGGCGTGGCCTACAGGTGTGGCTCCTCCCCACAGGTGTTGTTGTGGTCAGCCAACAAGGTGTTTGAGGAGCTCACGGATCTCGAAAGGCAGTTTCACAAGGCCTTCTACAGCGTTAGGGCTTATCTGAACTGTGACAGATACTCCGTAGGCCTGCTGGACATGACCAAGGAGAAGGTGAGGCCTGCGCTTCCCCCATGAGGGGCTCCTGCCCACCATGTGAACCAAGTATGTGTGTGAGACACATAAATGGTGGATGTTTATATGCATGTGGGTGATGTATGAATTTGGCGGTTGAGCATGTGTACGTGTGTGTGCAGGAGATGGTGTGTGTGTGTGTGCGTGTGTATGAATGCACATGTGGGTGTACTGTGCTGTGTGTACCAGGGTGGTGTGCACCAGTCCACCCTGCCCAGCTCCAGCAGCACCACTGACCACTCACCCCCTCCTCCCCCTACTCAGAAATTCTTCGACGTGTGGCCTATGCTGATGGGGGAGGCCCAGCCATACTCAGGCCCACGCACACCTGATGGCCGGGTGAGTCAGGGTGGGGGCAAGGGGATGGTCCGGTTTGAGCCCCTCAGCTTCCTCTGGCTATAGCTCTAGGTGGAAGGGGGCCCTGTCCCAACTCAACCTCAGCCTCCGGGGTGGGATGGCATTGAGCTAGGACATGCTGTGGGAGCCTGGTTGGCTGCAGGCTGACCGTGATGGCAGGAATCTCTCTGGGTGCCTGTCTGCATCTCCCCCAGTGCTGGCTCTGCTACAGCTCTAGGTGGAAGGGAGCCCTGTCCCAACTCAACCTCAGCCTCCGGGGTGGGATGGCATTGAGCTAGGACATGCTGTGGGAGCCTGGCTGGCTGCAGGCTCACCGTAATGGCAGGAATCTCTCTGGGTGCTTGTCTGCATCTCCCCCAGTGCTGGCTCTGCTGTACTTCCGGGGGTGGGGCGGCCTGTGGTAATGACAAGCACTTGTTCTGATTGGCCAGTTCCCCTCATCCCCTCCTTCATATTGAAAGCATCTCTCCTGGGTGGCACTATGTGTTGTGTGTGCTTGTGTGGATGTGCACGTAAGCACACACCAGAGAGGCAGTGTGTTATGGTGGGTAGAGGTGCAGTCTGAGTCAGACATCTCAGTGGCTACTAGGATCCAACCTGGGACACACTGCACCATCTGGGGGTGCCTCCGTCTCCCCATCTGTCTAATGGAGACATCACAGCAGACTCCATGAGCGTGTGCAAAGCATGCGGCAGAGTCCTGGCATGGGGGAGGAAGTGCACCCATGGCGTCTGCGGTGGCCCCGTGCTACCATCGTGTGTGTTCATGGCTGCACGTGCACGATGCACCAGAACTGGCCAGTCCGTGCACAGGTATGAGCTGAGAGAGTGTGTGTGTGTGTGTGTGTGTGTACCTGTCCTGGCCAGGACGTCAGGAGAATATCACTGTGCAGTGGCCTAGGTTTGTGTGGAGCATGGGGCCTGTGTGTGTGTTGGAGTGTGGGGTCCTGTGTGTATGTGGAGTATGGCACCGCGTGTGTGTATATGTGTTTGTAGAATATAGAGTCCTATGTCTGTGTAGAGTATAAGTCCTCTCATGTGTGTGGGCGTGTACTAGGGGCGTCCACATGAGTATGTGTGTGTGTGGAGAGTGAGCCCCGTGTGGGTGTAGTACAGGGCCCTATGATGAGACTACAGTTGAATGTCACACAGAAGGAAGACAGATCTGAGTCAGCATGCAAAATACATCCCACAAGAGTCAACGACAATCTGTTTGTATGTACACATAAATATGTGTGTAATATGTCCATGTGTGTGAACGGTGCCAAGTGTGTGTGTAAGACACATAAATGGTGGATGTTTATATGCATGTGGGTGATGTATGAATGTGGCGGGTGAGCATGTGTACGTGTATATATGTGTGTGCAGGAGATGGTGTGGATGTGTGTATAAATGCACATGTGGGTGGACTGTGCTGGGTGTACCAGGGTGGTGTGTGTGTGTGTGTATGGATGCACACGTGGGTGGATAGTGCTGTATGTGTATGTCCAGGTGTTGGGTGGTTTCCCCCGATGAGCTGGCCCTGGGGAGCCTGTAATGACAGATGCAGTATCCTTTCTCAGGAAATCCTTTTCTACAAAGTCATAGACTACAGCCTCCACGGCAAGGAGGACATCACAGTCATTCCGTAAGTGCCCGGGTTCTCTGGAGGCCACCTGGGTCACAGAGGCGCTTCCTACTTTGAGGGTTCAGGACACAAGGTGGGGAGGGATGGTGGGGAGGGGTGGCAGATGGTTGAATGGGTGAGGATCCTGAGATGCCTGTGTATGTTCAGGAGCCACAGAGGGGCATCAGGTGAGATGGTCTCAGCCAGCCCAGCCCAGGTAGAGCTGCCAGAAAGGGCATTGTTCCCCCAGGCCGCCCAGCTGGTAGAAGGGAGGACAGAAGGTCAGCCCTCGAGACACTGAGAAAGCTGGTTAGCTATCAACCCAAGGACTCCAGAACCACGAACCCTCTGATCCCATAAACCTATCAGAGCCCACTCCACAGGTCCCCAGCAGGGAGCCCCTGGGGGTAGGAGCCAAGCCATATGGCCCCCAGTATGGGAACAGGGGAATTCCGACACAGTAAGGGTGCCCAGCATGGGCAATCGGGAGGTGGACAGGGGGCACAGACACCCCAAACACCTCCCCTGGCCTCTTCTCACTCACTTTCCTGGGACCCTCACCACATTCCCTTTCTAGGCCACCCATAACGTCCGTACCCTGCTGCCCCCTGGAGCTCAGTGAAGGAATAACAGTTAAAATGCACACAGATAAGTACACACGCATGCACTGTACAAAAAAAGCACACATCTGTTAGCATACTGGTTACAAGTCGGGCTGCTAACCTCAAGACCGGAAGTTCAAAACTACCAGCAGTTCCACAGGAGAAAGATGAGGCTTTCTGCTCCCTTAAAGATTTACAGCCTCGGAAACCTTATACAGGGTCACTGTGAGTCAGAACCAACTCCACAGCACACCACCACCACCACCACCACCCCAGTACATATCTAACAATTCCAAGCTTCTAGTCCTTCTGATGGTTTGCTTTTCTCTCTCCAGCACACCCCCGGCCAATCACTGGGCCCTGGCCAGCGGCCTTCCAACCTATGTAGCAGAAAGTGGCTTTGTGAGTTCAGCCCCTTGGGGGTTGGAGGGAACAGGGTCTCATCTTCACCCAGTACCTCAGTGCTCACACACTTCTCTCTCCCCCCCATGCCAACCCATCCCTACAGTCCTGAGTTTGCTTCTCTGCTTTGCCTAGTTGAAAGTTCACTTCCTTTAAGAGAGGCCGGGGCTGGGCGGCTCTGGGGCTGGGCCGCTTTTTCTAGAATCCTATTGTAAGCCTGGCTACTTTCAATGAGATTGCTTTTCTGATCTTTTGTTTAGATCTGTAACATCATGAATGCCCCTGCCGAGGAAATGTTTAAATTTCAGGTATCTGTCTATTCCATTAGTAGAAAATTATTTTACTTAAGAAGTAAGATGGCTTTCATTTAGAAACAGGCTGAATAAGAAAACACTTGTTTGCGTCTTCTCAGTGGCTAACAACAACCACGTGTTTCATATTTCGGGGGTCAGCTGTAGCTCAGTTGGTTTTAGCTGGGGATCCACTGGGCTCAGCTGATCTTAGCAGAGCTGCGCTGGGACATGGTTTAATCTCAGACGGGAGACTCAGCTGATCTTGTCCAGGCTCTACTGGGTCTTGGCTGGGGCTCCGCTGATTTGAGCAGAACTGAGCTGGGGACATGGCTTAATTTCAAACTGTGCTCAACTGGGTCTCAGCTGATCTGGAGCAGGCTTGGCTAGAGCTTAGTTGAGGCTTATAGCTGGGTCACTGCTGATCTAGGCAGGTCTCAGCTGGGATTTGCCAGAGGCTCCACTGATCTTACCTGTTGTTGGCTGATTCTCAGCTAATCTTGACTGGGTTCAGTTGGGGTTCAACTAATCTCACCTGGACTTGGCTGGGACTCCGCTGATCTTTGCAACGTTGATCTGGGGCTCATCTGATCTTGACTGGATCTGGCTGGGCCGGGCTGGACCCCTTCAAGAGTTAAGTTGGACCCACATGTCTTCATCTGGGGTTATGTGACCAACACAGGTTTTTTTCCTAAGGGAGATGGAGGCTCAAGTGGACCAGTGAAAATGTCTCTAAGGGCCTCTTCTAGAAACTAGTCCCCTCCTATATTTCACTGACTAAATCCAACATAGTGGGATGCGAGACAGGACTAGCTATGTAATTTGTGGGGCCAAATGCAAAATGAAAATGCGAGATTCCTTGTTCAGCAATTACTAAGAGCTCTAAGACAGCTCTAAGGAGAGTAGTCAACCAAGTATGGAGCGCTTCTCAGAGTGAGGCTGTGAAATTACACATCTCACATGCCCACGAAGCTGGCCCTGATAGGAAAATATCCCCGGGTCCTCTAATGGGGAAAGTCACAACTCAAAATGCATGGAGATAAAATTCACCTGCAAAGAGGTTGTGAAGAACCAGGAATAGTAAGCCAGTGTCTCCTACTGGGGTTTGCACTCTCCGGGGAAGAAACCCTGGCCAGGGTCAGCCCCAGAGCATGGGGTCATCTCTGAAGACTTCCCCCTGTAGGACGGAGCCCTGGATGACTCCGGATGGACCATCAAGAATGTCCTCTCCATGCCCATTGTCAACAAAAAGGAGGAGATTGTGGGGGTTGCAACATTTTACAACAGGAAGGATGGGAAGCCCTTTGATGAGCAGGATGAAGTTCTCATGGAGGTAAAGTCCTGCCAGCAGCATGACTTTAATGGGTGACACCCTGTATGGCGGTGTGGAACACAGGCCCCTCCTTACCTTCACACTAGCCCCTGGCCTGGCGTGAATCCTGGGTAGCGTGGACCCAAGAAAGAGCTGAATAGGTCCCATTTCTGGAAGCTTCTGTATGGCACCTTGAAGACTCCATTCAAAGCACTCACTGCATGCTAGTCCTCCCCGCCCCCACACACACACATACACCCTTCAACCCTGGCAGGAAGCCCCATGCTGAGATGCAGGACTTGGCACACAGTAGGTACTCAGTTTGGTTGTGCTGAAGTGAGCTGACACTGCTTACCTGTCTTCCAGTCCCTGACGCAGTTCCTGGGCTGGTCAGTGCTAAACACTGACACTTACGACAAGATGAACAAGATGGAGAGCCGCAAGGACATCGCCCAGGACATGGTTCTGTACCACGTGAAATGTGACAAGGAGGAAATCCAGGAGATTCTGGTATAACCCCACCCCTCCGTGACTCCTTCCTCAGCCCAGCAGGAAGGCAGGGTCACTCAGGAGTTAGAGCACACCTCTGGGGTCAGACAGCCAGGTTCACGTCTGCTGTCCCCACACATTGTATGACCCAGTATGAGTATCTTCTCTGTGCCTTCGTTTCCTCTTCTGTGAAATGGGAGGAAGTTGTGCCTGCCTTGTCTGGTAGGGTGAGGATCCTATCCCAATGAGCCTGTGGAGAGCTCAGCGGGGCTGTGCCTGAAAGACAGGAACACACAGGAAATGTAAACCATGCACATCACCACTTAGCTTGGAAATTAAAACCTCTGGTTGGACCTTCCCAGGGTGATTTTGGTCCTCTCTGGCTCAGGTGCTGTCTACCCCCTTAGTGGGACTGTCAAAGCTGCTGTCCTGCCCAGGAGGGCTTTGGATAAGGGACCCTGCTCTAGGGATGGAGAAACCAAAGACCAAGCAGCCCCTGTACTAAGATGCTATGGACAACATACATGAGTGCACCATGATCCCCAACAAAGTCATAGCATCTTCCATGTGCTGAATCTTGGGTACCCTAGAGTATACCACCTGACTCAGGACCATGGAGAGCAACCCTAAAGAGGGATGATTCATCCAGAATGAAGGGACCCAACGTACGTCAGAGTAGGAGCAGGAACCCAGAGGGCCACTTACATGTTGTTAGGTGCTGAGAGCCATGGAAGACCCAGGGAGGAGAGATGCTGGCACTCAGAGGAGGAGGCTGAACTCATGAGTTTGTCTCCTTTTCATGGTGCATGTAGGGTGGGTGTGGCGCCCTCAGGTGGATCATCCCACAAGCTCATGATGGGTGTAGGTACAGCTGTCATTGGTCCTACACTCCCATGATGGGTGTACGTAATCGCTCTGACTGTACTGTAACACACCTGCTTATTCATTGTTAGCCAACGAGAGAGCGCCTTGGAAAGGAGCCTGGTGATTGTGAAGAGGAGGAGTTAGAGAAAATCTTGGTAAGGAAGCCGACTCAATCCTTCAAGTGCAGACTGGAAGCTCTTGAGAATGGGGGTGTGGGAGGTGTCTCCCTTCCCAGGAGACTGGGGTGTTCTTTGAGCTTGTATAGAGTTACCTTGCAAGGGTCTGTGTGTGTGTGTGTGTGTGTATGTACTTCTCAACAAAAGTGAGTCTACATAACCCAGTGTTTAGTCTTGGGCAGTATGTGCCTCAGCGACTATATATCCAGCTAACGACTTAATTTGATGTATATACTACTGAGTGTGTATGTCAGTCTCTTTTCCATTGTTTGTACCAACTATCCAATGTTAGAGTCTGGGTAAACCCATGTTTTGGACTGTGTCTATCTGCATCTGTCCAGGTAAAGAAGTTACCTGTGCATGTGTGCATGTGTGTGTACTTGTGTACCTGAAGAACATCATGCTAGGTAAAGTGGAGGTTCAGCAAAAGAGACGAGGACCCCAATGAGATGGATTGGCACAGTGGCAGCAGCAATGGGCTCAAGCATGATGACTGTGAAATTGGCACAGGACCGGGCAGTGTTTGGTTCTGTTGCACAGGAATTGGTATCGACTTGACAGCATCTAACAACATCGACAAAATATTCTTTATGTTCATGCCCTGGTGTGTGTGTGCTTACATGTGTCCCTGACAATGTACTTGGGTTGCTTAGATGGGCAAGCCCCTGGCATTGAGGCAGAAGGAGTAGGCAGGAAATAGAAGGCCCCTACTAGAGGCCAGAGTTCCTGGGAGGGGTGGGCAATCACCTGGAGAGCTATGAGGAGCTTAAGGCTGAACAGAGGGCTTGGGAAGGAGGAGAGGCAAGGACCAAGTGGGCCCTGCCTCCCTCAGTTCCACCACCTCCATCACCCCTTGGCAGAAAGAAGAGCTCCCAGGACCCAGCAAGTTCGACATCTACGAGTTCCACTTTTCAGACCTGGAGTGCACAGAGCTGGAGCTGGTTAGGTGTGGCATCCAGATGTACTATGAGCTGGGTGTGGTCCGCAAGTTCCAGATCCCCCAGGAGGTGAGAGGGCCAGCTGCAGGGATGGGATGACCAAGGTGTTCCCCAAGGGAGTGATGGAACCAGGAGTGAATGGGAGATGTTATTGTTAAGTGTCATCGAGTCAATTCCGACCCATAGCGACTCCATATAGGGTAACTGGTAGGTTTGAACCGCCGACCTTGTGGTTTGCAGTCCAGTGCTTTCCTACAGCACCACACCAGAATTCCAACAGGGAGATGGAGGGATGGAAGAAAGGGGCTGGGCTCCAGGGTCCTCTTCTCAGTTTTGGGCAACAGGCTGGAAGATAGATCTCCAGAACCTAACAAACAATGGAGTGATCCCAGTTCTGCCCTGCCCACCTCAGGGTTTCCTGCCACCCCTCTCTGCCCACCATAGGTGCCTGGTCCAACACTTCCCACCCAGGAATGGGGTTGGGGACTGGGCAGGGTAACCCACCAAGCACGGTCAGACAGGGACTGGTCAATCAATGGAGAAGAGAGAGTTGTGTGGGGCTTAAGAAATGGGATGTGATGGAGTGTGTAGGGCTGACAGATGATGGGGATGAAGGCAGAGGCATCACCATGGTAACATTTTGGTGGGACCATCTCCACAACCAAGAAACCACGTGTTTCTACCTGCCTCTCCCTCAGGTGCTTGTGAGATTCCTTTTCTCCATCAGCAAAGGGTATCGGAGAATCACCTACCACAACTGGCGTCATGGCTTCAATGTGGCCCAGACGATGTTCACGCTGCTCATGGTATGTGGATGTGGGCAGGAAGGAGGCTGCCAATGTAGAGAGGACTGGGGTCCTGTGAGCCCAGGGATGTCACTGTAGACAGGACCAAGTCCCTTCAGCAGAGATAGCAGCTGGAGGTCATTGGTGGCACTTGGGCTCTTGGTGTGGAGCTGGTAGGGGAGATCCGGGTGGGAAGGGAGGGTACAGGGCCAGGGCTACAGAACACCCAGATGTGGACACATCTGTCCCTGCAGACCGGCAAGCTGAAAAGCTACTACACAGATCTGGAGGCCTTTGCCATGGTGACAGCTGGCCTGTGCCACGACATCGACCACCGTGGCACCAACAACTTGTACCAGATGAAGTAGGTGCAAGGACGCAGCTGGTGGGGTAGTGGAGCGGGCTCACAGAAAGGGGAACCCACCTGTCCTAAAGCCATGAGGTAGCATCCGGCTGGTGTGGAGGGAAGCCTCAAGGCCTTTGGTCAGCGCCAACCCCTGCCACAGGGATGCTGGTCCTAGTGTGAGGCAGGGGGCCTGGAAGAGCAGAAATGGATTCCCTCTTGGTTCTGGAGGCTGGAGTCCAAGTTCGGGGCCACGGTCCATGTTCTCTCCAAAGGGTCTGTGGAAAGACCCTTCCTTGTCTCCCAGCTTATGGTAGCTCCTGGCACCCCTTGACTACATGTGGAGTCTGTCTTACTCTCCCATGCACATCTTTTTGCTATATAAATTTTTGCCCAAATCTCAATACAAAGTCTAAAAACTTCATGAAAAAAATGAGGCTTACACTTTGTTGTTAAGTGCCATTGAGTCAGTTCCAACCCACAGCGACCCTGTATAGGGTTTCTGAGGAGGAGCCCTGGTGGCTTCGGGGATTAGTGTTCAGCTGCTAACCCCTTGGTCAACAGTTCAAGCCCACCAGCCACTCCTCAGAAGGAGGATGAGGCTGCTCTAATAAAGACTTACAGTCTCGGTTTGGTTTGGTGTGTAGTTGATTAAGCGTGCAATTGTTGGTGTTGTTAAATGCCACTGAGTTGGTTCCAACTCATAATGATCCTGAGGAACGACTGGTGAGTTTGAACCACTGACCTTGAGCTCAAACTGACCTTGCAGCCCAGTGCATTATCCAGCAGTGCCACACCAGGACTCCAAGTGTGAAAAAGTTTGCAGAATCGCCCTCGCAAAATAACACAGTGACATGAACTGAGTGCAGGCTGTTGGGAAAATGGTGCCCATTGACAGGCTTGACACAACGTTGCTATAAAACCTCACTCTGTAAACCAAGCAGTGTCTGCAGCGCGCAATTAAACAAGGTCAACCTGTACAGTGGGGCTCTGGGAGTGTAGTGGTTACAAATCAGGCTGCTAACCTCAAGGTCAGCAGTTCGAAACTATCAGTGGTTCCATGGGAGAAAGATGAGGCTTTCTGCTCCTATAGAGATTTACAGTCTTGGAAACCCTATGCAGAGTCACTCTGAGTTGGAACCAACTCCACAGCACATCACTCACCCACCCACCCACCACCGGGACAGCAAAATCTGTTCAAGACAGACTCTGTGTAAGACTGCACCCTGTCAGAGAACGGAAACTTACAAAACCCGGAAGAGCAAGGCAATTCCATTGTGTTCTGGCTCTTACAAGTTTCACTGTCAAAGCCTCAGGGAAAATACCATTTCCAAACAAAGTCACATTCACACTCACCAGGGTTGGGACATCCATCTATCTTTTGGGGGGACACAGTCTGTCACACTGTTGTTGAGGCCTCTAACCATCTGTTGTTGGTCTTTTGTTTTTGTGATTTTAATAAAACCTTCATGACAGATCCCAGAATCCCTTAGCAAAGCTCCATGGCTCCTCGATTCTGGAACGGCACCATCTGGAGTTTGGGAAGTTCCTACTCTCAGAGGAGGTACGTGTCTCCAGCCCTGAGGGTGTTCACAGGTGGTTCTTGGCTGATTGAACATGGGTGTGATGTGGCAGCAGGGTCACTGTCCTTGGGGACCAGGTGCTCTGGGCACACATGACAGGCCCCGGGCTGACTGAGGCTGTTGGCTCAGCCACTAGAAAGTGCACGGTGGGCAAACCATGGTGACAGGCAAAGGAGCTCTGTGGTGTGGTCGGGGGTAGGAGCAGTCACTGCGGTCACTAGTGCTGGACCAAGAGTGGGAGGCTTGAACTGAAGTGAGGGTGGCAGCTGGAGAGGAGGGGTCCAGCTGGAGGAGGGTGGTGAAGGACCCAGGACACCCAGCCTGCTCTTAGCCTGGGAGTCCACTCGGGCTGATGGCTGATGGGAAAGGCGGCCCAGCTGTAGAGACCCACAGAAAGTGGGGAGGGCTGGAAACCCGACAGCGGGAACATCCAGAGAGGACTATCCATGGACATGGAGGATGCCCCCGTGAGGGGTGGTCTAGCAGCCCTTTGCCCGCACAAACTCCCCTGACAGACGCCACACTTCTGCAGACCCTGAACATCTTCCAAACCCTGAACCAGCGACAGCATCAGCTGGTGATTCACCTCATGGATATCGCCATCATTGCCACGGATCTGGCGCTCTACTTCAAGTGGGTGCCACGCCCCCTCCCCCAGCCCAAGCCCCCATAATGTCTCTGAAATGGGTGACTGCAGTTAGGGTCAAGGATAGTGCAGTGGCGTCGGGGGGACACACATAGGTCCCGAGTGCAGGGAAGCAGGCCATCAACTTGATGGTGGCACTGATGTTAGAGTAGGAGGCCTAGAACTGAGTCTGTGCCCATGTAACACCATCTCTCTGCACTTCCTCCCGGCCTACACCTCTCCCCTTGTTCTGGGGGTTCAGGAAGAGGACCATGTTCCAGAAGATTGTAGACGAGTCCAAGAACTATGAGAACCGGAAGACATGGGTGGAGTACATGTCCCTGGAAACCACACGAAAGGAGATAGTCATGTGAGCAGGGATGTGCTTGTGGACTAGGCAACCGGGGGCGGGGCATGTGAGAGATGGGGGATGTTGTTGTTGTTGTTAGGTGCCATCGAGTTGGTACCAACCCATAGAGACCTTGTTGTTGTTGTCAGGTGCCATCGAGTCGGAACCGACTCATAGCGACCCTATGCACAGCAGAACGAAACAATGTTCAATCCTGGGCCAACCTCACTACCGCTGCCACACCTGAGTCCATCAATGATGCCACCTGGCTGATCCATCTCGTTGGGGGTCTTCCTCTTTTTCTCTGACCCTCCACCCTACCCAGCATGACATCCTTCTCCAGCGATTGTTTCCTCCGGACAATATGTCCAAAGTAGGAGAGACGAAGTTTAGCCATCCTGGCCTCCAAGGAGCACTCTGGCTGCACTTCTTCCAAAACAGATTTATTGGTTCTTTTGGCAGTCCATGGCACTTTCAGTATTCTCCTCCAACACCACAACTCAAAGGCATCAATTCTTCTACGATCCTCCTTATTCACTGTCCAGCTTTCGCATCCATATGAGGCTATTGAAAACACAATGGCCTGGGTCAGGCGCACCCTAGTCCTCAAGCTGACATCTCTACTCTTCAACACTTTAAAAAGTTCCTGTGCAGCAGATTTGCCCAGTGCAATACGTCGTCTGATCTCTTGACTGCTAATTCCGCGAGTGTTGATAGTTGATCCAAGAAGAATGAAGTCCTTGACCTTATGCACAGCATAATGAAACACTGCCTGATCCTGGGCCAACCTCACTACCATTGCCACGCTTGAGTCTATCAGTGCTGCCACTTGGCCAATCCATCTCATTTGAGATCTTCTTCTTTTTCTCTGACCCTCCACCTTATCAAACATGATCTCCTTCTCCAGTGACTGGTCCCTTCTGACAATATGTCTGAAGTATGAGAGACAAAGTTTGGCCATCCTGACCTCCAAGGAGCACTCTGGCTGCACTTCTTCCAACACAGATGTTTGTTCTTTTGGCAGCCCATGGCACTTTCAATATTCTCCTCCAACACCATAACTCAAAAACATCAATTCTTCTGTGGTCTTCCTTTTTCACTGTCCAGCTTTCGCATGCATATGAGGTTATTGAAAATACCATGGCTTGGGTCAGGTGCACCTTAGTCCTCAAGCTGACATCTTTGCTCTTCAACGCTTTAAAAAGGTCTTGTGCAGCAGATTTGCCTAATGCAATACGTCGTCTGATCTCTTGACTGCTGCTTCCACGAGTGTTGATAGTTGATCCTAGAAGAATGAACTCCTTGACGTCAATCTTTTCCCCGTTGATAAGAATGTTGTTTATTGGTCCAGTGGTGAGGATTTTTGTTTTCTTGACATTGAGATGTAATCCATACCAAAGGCAGTGCTCTTTGATCTTCATCAGTAAGTGTTTTAAGTCTAGGTGCCATCAAGTCAGTTCTGACTCATAGCGACATTATGCACAACAAATCTCAACGCTGCCCGGTCCTTCACCATTCTCACAATCACTACTATGCTTATGCCCATTGCTGCTGCCACTGCCAATCCATCTCATTGTGGGTATTTGGCGAAACCACTGGAAACCTTAGCCTAGCCAAACTGACACAAAACCAACCATCACACAACGGCACATAATGACACTGTAAAACATCATGAGGAAGCTCTTTGTGGGCTGATGTGGGAATTTCTCATAGATAGCTTACTGAGTTAAAAAAATAAAAAAATAAATACAAAGCAATGTGTTAAGAGCACACACATCTCTGCCTTTCTTTGTTCCTTGTTTTGAGAAGGAGTTAGCCTTGGGAAAACCCTTTTCTTGCTTTGTGACTTTGGCAATCGTTTGGGTCACCTTCCTGAACTTTCTTAAGTCTTAACCTACAAAATGGAGATTCAGAACTAACGTTTTTTCCCTCCTGGGCTGCCTCAGGGCAGAAATGAAGATACAGAACATCCCCTCTTTCAGTGCCTGGCACTCAGAAGCACCTGATAATACTTAACTTGCCTTTGTGAATGCCCAGGGGGCAGAAGAGTCTAGGGGGAAGGGGCAGAAGTGGAGGGGAATAATGGTGGGGAGGGGAGGAGCTGAGTGAAGGAGAGCTGGCGGATCTGAAGGCAGAAGGTGGGGTGTAGACATTGGGATTTGGACCTGCTCCACCACACTCACCATAGTCACCTGGCCTCTCTGTGTTGAGGGTGAGAAGCCTGGTTCTGAGCATAACTGGAGCCCCCTTTGTCCCACAGGGCCATGATGATGACTGCATGTGACCTGTCTGCCATCACCAAGCCCTGGGAGGTCCAGCGCAAGGTCAGGGCTGGCCTGCACCAGACCAGGGTGAACACAGCCTGTAGTGCCCATGGGCTCAGGGTGCATTTAGGGGGAGCCTAATTGGAGAGTGAGACCCTCAGTGGGACGAACAGTTAACGTATTGAGCTGTTAACCAAAAAGTTGGAGATCTGCGTCCACCCAGAGAGGCCTGGAGACTTGTCATTGTTGTTAGGTGCCATTGAGTTGGTACCCTGTGCACAACAGAATGAAACACTCCTGTTTCCTGCACCAACCTCACCATCTTTGTTACACTTGAGCCCATTGCTTCTGTCACTGTGTTTTCCTCATTTTTGCTGACCCTCTACTTTACCAAGCATGATGTCCTTCTCCAGGGACTGGTCCCTCCTGATAATGTGTTCAAAGTATGACATGCAGTCTAGCCATGCTGGCTTCTAAGGAACATTCTGACTGTACTTCTTCCAACACAGATTGGTTTGTTCTTCTGGCAATCCATGGTACTTCTAATATTGTCCTCCAACACCATAACTCAAATGCATCAATTCTTCTATGGTCTTCCTTATTTACAGTCCACCTTTCACATGCATGCATACAAGACAATTGAAAATACCATGGCTTGGAGACTTACTACTGAAACATCAGCCATTGAAACCCTTGTGAGGTGCAATTCTATAGTAACACACATGGGGTCACTGTGATTCAGAATTAACTCGACAGTAATATGTTTATTTGGAGGAACAGACCAGTTCCAACTGAAAACAGCATTTGTCAGGAACGCTGAGGGCTGTTGCCTGCTCTGGGTCAGTCCAGGGGACAAAGGCAGAAGACATCGGGATTTTCTTTGTGTTTCGGGCCCAAGGGTGGCCCAGCCCTGAGTAAGGACTCCTGGGGGTCTATGGCAGAGAGGCCCAAGAGAACAGAACCTGGAACTCATGGAGAGAGTCTCATAACAATTTCTAATAAAGCAGGAATAATGGAGGACTGTAAACCCCAACCTCCACAACCCTGAGACCAGAAGAACTAGATGGTGCCCAGCTTCCACTGCTAACCACTTTGAAAGGGGTCATAAGGAGGTCCTAGATAGAGGGGAGAGACAAAATTCAAAAAGAAAAAATATTTCAAGACCAGGCTTACTGATCTGATAGAGACTGGTTGGGGTCCCCAAAACCAGGACCCTGAACCCACTTCCATGGGTTTAACTTTCAGCTAAACAATAGGCCCACAAGGGGAACAGTAACACCAGAAAGGGCCACACTCCTTAGAAGAGTCAAGCATACAAGACCAAAAGGGCAGCGTTTGCCTGGGGAAGAAAATCCAGAAGGCAGGAAGGGAGAAGGAAGAAGGAGGAAGGGAAATGGGAGACCCAAGGAGGAGGTGGGGAGAGAGCTGTCAAACTGTGGGAATGCGGTCAACATCAAGAATCAAAACAAGAAGGAATTGTTAAATGGAAATGCAATTTGCTCTATAAACTTTCACCCAAATCACAATAAAAAGTTTACACTTCTCTTTTCTCATAAGGCGCTGAGCCCCACACAGGACTGTTTTTTTGTGCCCTTCAGGTAGCTCTTCAGGTGGCAGCTGAGTTCTGGGAGCAAGGAGACTTGGAAAGGATGATTCTGCAGCAGCAGCCCATTGTAAGTATTGCTTCATCCTTGAAAGGGAGATTGGACATTAACTCGGTTCTCAGGAGCCTCCTAGTTCTGGCAAAATGGCAGGTGAGAGACTCCCTGGGCTCTGTGGTCCTTGCCCTTGTTCTAGAAGAGAGGGGTGGAATTCAAGCCTATTCCATAGAGATCCCTTTAGTAAGCTTTGAACAGGCAAAGACAACCATCTGGATAAGGGAAACCATCAGCATGAGGCCAAGATGGAATCCACTGAATTCATGGCCACACACACAAGAAAGTGAGGCTACTGCCATCAAGTGAATTCAGACACATAGTGGCCCCATGTTATTGCTGTTAAGTGCCATTGCATTGGTTCTGACTCATAACAACCCTGTATAGGGTTTCCAAGGAGTGGCTGGTGAGTTTGAACCACCAACCTTGCATTTTAAATCAACCTCGAGATGGAGTGCTTAGGACCAAGCAAAACTGCCCCACAGAGTTTCTGAGGCTTTAAATCCTTACAGAAGCCTGCTGACTCATCTTTGTCCCAAAGAGCAGCTGATGGGTTAGAACTACCAACCTTTCATTAGCATCCCGACCCTTGTTGCTGAACTCTGGTCCATGGAGCTAACTATAATTGTAGGAAAACATCACAAAATCCTGATTGATGGCAGAGCAATTCACCACTGGGGGAGTACAGAAGTCCCACCACAAGGTGGGACTCCAGAAGTCGGGAAAGGACGATGGCAGAGTCAAAAAGCTTCCAGGATTAGTTCTGAGACTCCGACCCAGATGGTTGGGATATGACTCATGACCACACAGTCCTGAGTCATAGCCACCAGGAGCCCCAACTTTTAGCTAACATGAAGCTATTTTTGGTACATCATTAAGCACACATCCAGGCAAGTTCCCTGATTTTCTTTGCAATGCTGAGGGCAAGACCACCCATCCTGGGGCTCACTGAGGAATTGAGTTCTCTACTGCCAAAAGGAAATGGTTAATGTTCAACCATTTCAAGAGATACCATATGAAAAAGAGCCAATGATACTCAGAGAGGAAGTCCAAAGTGCATTGAAAGAAGTGGCAAAGAACAAGGCACCAGGAATTGATGGAATAAAAATTGAAATCTTTCA